ATTGTCCACGTTGATACCTAAAAATGGAAATTATAAATGTCATCTCATTCTTACAAAATTATAGATGAAATAAGTTTGATTAAATGTGAAAGAAAAAAGGTGGATAGTTTGTTCATTTGTCTCTTCAATTTACTTTTCGTGCATCATTTGTTTGCATCAATTGATGCCAACCATTACCCTTAATTATGTTTATTTCATATTAAATTTTGTTAAGTAATTGTTGAATAGTACACCAATTATTCTATATGGAAGGGATATATTAATGCAACAAAAAAAAGTATATAAACTATAAACGGAATTCATAATTTTAATACTACACCAACAATTTACATCTATATACGTCAATCTAGGGCTGTTTTTATTTCGGCCCAATAGCTGGGGAGGTCAAGACTAGTTGTTCAGAAGGAATGAACTACCCCCCATAAGATAGTCATTTTTCCAATGCAATAAAGTTACGTAGTGTCTTTGATAAAGGGCGGTTCTTCCTTCGCTGCTAACGCTTACATCTTCTTCTTAGCTACGCGGCGAGGGAGAAAATGACTGCATTTGCGTCTGAGTCAGGGAAGGCTATGCCATGGCATGGAACTTCTTTGTACGAGTCTCTAAAGGCTGATCCGGCAGTAAGAAAGAAGAACGAAAGTAGCCTGAAAGCAACCTCTTTGCTCTCGAATCTGCTGATCCTTTTTTATGACTTCACTTCGCTCGCCTACTTACCTTTTTTCATACTTTGGAGAGATGATACTTCTGGCAATACAATCCGAAACCCGCAAAGCGGTCAAGAGTATTGTCCAAATATGTTGCGTATGGTTCGCAAAGTTCAGTCCTGGAAGGGAGAGGAAGTGCCAAGACGAAGGGTCTGTTAAGAGATAGGCGGTCATCATGAGTAAAGATACCTACGGGTGGATTGTAAAGATAAAAATCTAGAACCGACAGAAAGAAGTCTTGGGATGAAACAAAACCGCGAGTTTATTTTTTGGCAGGGGGGCGCTCCTAATGATTGTTCTCTCTAGAGTCAGTCAGGATGGTCAAATGCCCGGAATAAAATAGAAATATGGTATAGAAATAGACGGTAGGCTCGTCAACAAAGAAGCGGATGCAGACAAGAATGTAGGCTTTTCAAGTGAGCAACTCGTTACTTCCTTGGTTTTCCTCTCATGCATATCCACATCCAGCTTCGATTCCTAGTGGGACCTCATTCCGAGGCTGTTCTTTATCACGGCTTCTTAAACGCATGAGGCACTTCATGCCCAAGTCTGGGTCTAGCCTCTAAGGCAGACAATTACATACGTGGTCTCGCCCATCTGATGAAGCGAAGCAAAAGCCTAGGGTACCAGGAATCGTGTGTGGATTGGCAGCGTTATCGGGTTCCCACGAGTCGAGCCACTTTCCTTTAACATAGTGGCAGGCGCAAAGTAAATGCTTTTTGCTCACCCGGCGAAGATAGCTGCAATCGAGAGCCATCAGTGAGATACCACTCTGGGAGCGCTAGAACCCTAACCTTGTGTCAGGACCTACGGGCCGAGGGACAGTCTCAGGTAGACAGTTTCTATGGGGCGTAGGCCTCCCAAAAGGTAACGGAGGCGTGCAAAGGTTTCCCAAGGAATAGCCAATTTCTATTAGGAATTTTTCTACCCAAAGTTTTTTTGGAAAAAATTAGAACTTTTTTTTTTCTTTTCTTAATTTGATACACAATTTAATGTTTTCATGATTTTACAATCAATTATTGTCATTATATTTGAAAAATTTATGACTAATTAATTTGGTCAAATAAGTGTCTTATATGGATGATTAAATAAAAAATATGACATTGTACAAACATTAAGATACATTTTTATATAGAAACAAATAATTTTGTAATATAATAGACACATGCTATAGATCTATGCCCTTTAAATTGTTTTAGTATTTCAAATGTTTCAAGTTTATGATTGATACTTTATGTAGTTAATTTGGTCAACCGACATAAAAAAAAAAAATCATAGTTGTATAAAATTATTATTCAAACACACGTCATTAAAATTTAAAAATTAAATTAAATATACAAAATAACATATGTATACTTTTAAATATATTTATATAGATACATATATGAAAAAACTAAGAAAATAAAATAAGAAAAATTATTATTTACTCTAAATAAATCTTAAATATCTAACATGGTGACATATGACTGGACCCTCATAGTGGGTAACACATTGAAAACGTAAATAAAAAATATGTGTGAAGTTAATTTCTTAAATAATTATTTAACATGAAATACCACATGTTAGTGCATTTTTCTCGCATTAATCTAAAAAAATATTATGCTGAAAATAAATACAAAAATGTTAAAAGAGATAATTAACTATTTCAAACGTTGGTTACATACATATCATTAAAATAAAAATGACATTAAAACGAAGAACTAATGGCGCTCATAAATCATAGGCGTATTATTTGCTCAAAGTAAAAATAAAAAATAACAATATATAATTTTATAAATTAAAGTGTAGAAGTAATTAATTACTTTTCAAATAATATAAGCTAAATATCAAATTATTATTATGAAAATATAATAAAATAAAGCATTTTAATTATGGTACTACAATTTGTGTGTTGTATGGGTGGATAAGCTAGTATTAGTTAAGCGTTTCACAAGCCTTTTGCACTTTAGTTGTTTATTTTCCATCCGCATGTGTTTCGATTAACACAAAAGCAAGTGAACTATTTTTGTAAGGAATTTTTCCACCCAAAATTTATTGGAGAAAATTAGAAAGTTAACAAAATGTTAAGCCATTAAAAATTACGAAGTAATTAATAACTTATAAAAAATATAAGTAAAAATCAAATTATTATTATAAAAATTACCCAAAATATAAAATGGAGAGAAATATTTATATAATTAAGGAACAATTACTACTCGATCTCATTGAATGGACTCTTAACAAATGACAATTCAACCATCAAAAGATTAAAGGAGTAAGGATAATTTTGTCTATCTAAATTTTTACAAAAACATTCACGCTTTTAAGTTAGTAGAAATAGAGATAGAGATAGAGATTTAGACATAGTTGAGTGTTATAGCTACTTTGCCTTTTGCAGCTGGTTAGAAAGAGATAAATATGCCGTTCTTGCTTCAGTATTTATTGCTAGCAATGTAGTAAGCTTTGTATAGGCTTTTTTTT